AATAATATAATTTATATCATGTAATTAATTCTAAATTTTAATCTATTAATCATTATTCTGGATGGAATGACTATGATGTCTGAATTTGTATGGATGTTTTTATTTATTTATTTATTTTCACGGTTGGGTGTTATAATCATTCACCGTCAGTCAATGTTGCCGTTGTCTCATCCTACGAATCGCCGTCCTCGCCGAGCCCATCGCTCCCAACGCCCCTCACCCACACGTTCACAAAACCAGAGATAGTCGCAAACCATTTAAGTGGTACTGGTAATTTCTTCGAAATCTTAGGAATATATTTGGTTCATACAAACGATTTTTTTTTTTTTCTGGCCACCTTATATCAAAAAAGAAATGGTGGGAAGTGAGGGGCGATGATTTTTTATTTAATTAAATTATAATTTTAAAAAATATTTTTATTTAATTAATCAAAAAGTTTATCTCTCTTTTTTTCTATTTTTCTCAAATTAAATTTAATTACTTAAATTTGAGTTGAATGCATACAAGTGTAGCGAGTTATTTTTTTTCATTTAACTTTGGTTAAATTATTTTGATTTTAAATTTTTTAAATATAATTTTAGATGAAAATTTAAACATGTATAAAAATAATAGTATTAAAAATTTTCATATACATTTTTTATTGAGTAGTTTTATCTAATAAAAAATTTAATAATTATTTTTTTTGATAAAAAAACATAGTTGTATTAATAATTGAAATAATTACAATGCAAACTCTACCTTATCATATGAGCTATGCAAGTAATATAAATAAGTTAGGAAGGACATATGACACTAGTATATGGTGTTAAGTATTCTTTACAAATAGGATAATTAGAAACTAAAAACCTCCAAATACAAGTGTATGTCAAAAAAGTATCAATAGAGTTATACAACAACACAGAAAGATTACTCTAAAACTTTACCGTCATTGTTAGTCTTTACTGTCACTGTTAGTAATCACATTTATTTTACTATCCAAACCTAGTACGAGAGATTAGAAGACTTGGCAATGTAGTGTTTCCCCCAACACCACAATGCTCTATCCAAACCTAAGTTGTCTTCTAGCTAGCAAACAAATGAAAGAAAACACACTAGCATTGCAAGCATAGTCCTCGAATTGTCAAGCAATACCTTTGATGCTCTTTCATCCTCCATTCCTTGTTGCATATTTTTCCTTTTCCCCCCTTATTTCTTTCTTTAAGCTATGGGTAGATGCAAGGTTTCTATTAATTCTTTTCCAACTCTCACAACCTAAACTTGTTGATTTTCCTCCTCTGGAGAATGCTGTAACTTGTTGCACTAGTATCTCGACAAGTTGGAATTCAGGAGCACGGTCTACATTTTCAGCCATTTGTTCTACAAGTCCATTCTCCTTTGCTATCCTTCTCTACTTCTTGGTTTTGAGAAACCTAAATAGAAGGTGCTAGGCTTGACTCCTCCTTCACCATCAACCTTTTGTTTTCTGCCTTAGTAGACTTAGCTTCTAATTCTTTACTTATTTTGTTTATTTCTTTCGAAAGTTCCAAGTTTTCCAATTTCTTTAGACTCCAACCATTAACTTCTGCTCTCAGCCTTGGTCCATAGGACTTTGTTATTTTGTAGTTAGCTTCCTTCAAGCAAAAGCTAATATCAAAATCTGTTTCAACATGCCTTATACAACCACAAACATAACAAAACTCCAAAAGTTGCTTGTACTTAATTCTTACCTTTTAGTCTCAGTCTTAGTCAGCTTGATGGTTGAGGATTTCTGTAGAGGCTTATCCATTGGAAGATTAACTCGAACTCAAAGAGATTTTCCATGATTCTCATCCACCTCAAGAACACCTCCAATTAAACGACCTACAAGTCTACCCACCCTCTTTGATCTCAATCTCATCGGTAATCTATAAAGGTGAATCCATGATGGATTGGTATTGAAATCATACTGCTCCAGCTCATGAGTTGCTAAAACTCTCTTTAGAATAACAAGGGAGTTGCTAAAGTTCCATAGAGCTTTTTGCAAAACGCTATCTAGATCAAATTTATTGGAAATTTGAAATAGGAAAATTTCTCTCTAGCCTCAATGATCTTCACCTCTTGTGTTAGTTTCTAGGAGAGGTTCATGGCACTAATGAAACCCATAAGATTAATCCTTTTCTTGGTAAGAACTTTTGCTAAGTAGACAGAAATCCTCCTTATTATTCATCAATGAATTCCATTCATGAACTAAGGAAATTTCCCGCTATTCTCCAGAAGACAAACAAATGTTATTTAGCAATAAACCCGGATCTTCCCTCATTGGATTTGTTGTGCCATTCGGAACCACCATTGAAGTTGAAATCCTTTCAACCATCATTTGGAACTACCATGCTTCAAACCTTGATCGCAGGATGCAGATTAGCAATGAAGACCCAAACTAATTGCAATATGATAAGATGAATCAAAGGAAAAAACCCAAAACAAATCCAAATCCTAACCCTAACCCTAACTTTGGGGAAAGGGGCTGCTGGTAGCTAATATAATGATTATTTATGTCTAATAAATTAAATTTTTATTTAAAATTTATGTTTAAAAATTAAAAAAAAATTAAGACGTTTAAAATTAAAAAAAATAATATATAAAATAAGAAAGAATTGCCTCATTATATAATAGTCTCATATTACATAACACATAAAGAAAATTTAAGTTATAATTATAGTCTCTTAACATTTTCTTAAGGAAACCTAATTTTATTTAATTTAATT